GATTGCCTGAACCCAGGAGGCGGAGGTTGCGGTGAGCCGAGATCGCGCCATTGCACTCCAGCCTGGGTAACATGAGTGAAACTCTGTCTCAAAAAAAAAAAAAAAAATTGAGTTACTCTTGGTATCTGCTAAATTAAGATAATAACAATGGCCAAAAATACTATAAATAAATATTTAATTTTTGGGCTGGGCGCGGTGGCTCAAGCCTGTAATCCCAGCACTTTGGGAGGCCGAGGCGGGTGGATCACGAGGTCAAGAGATCGAGACCATCCTGGTCAACATGGTGAAACCCCGTCTCTACTAAAAAAAATACAAAAAATTAGCTGGGCATGGTGGCACGTGCCTGTAATCCCAGCTACTCAGGAAGCTGAGGCAGGAGAATTGCCTGAACCCAGGAGGCGGAGGTTGCGGTGAGCCGAGATCGCGCCATTGCACTCTAGCCTGGGTAACATGAGTGAAACTCCGTCTCAAAAAAAAAAAAATTAAAAAAAATAAATAAATAAATATTTAATTTTTAACAACAGTAGCTACATATTCATAACATATACTCAGAGAGATAACATTGTCTATAAATATTATTTGCCTGCTGCCCATTCACTTTCCCCATAGGTAAAGCCTAGAGGGCTAGGGTATTGTCTGCTCCATGTTTTGTTTTATTTGATTTGAGACAGGGTCTCACTCTGACACCCAATGCCAGGCTGGAGTGCAGTGGCATGATCTTGGCTCACTGAAACCTTGACCACCCGGGCTCAATCAACACTGGGACTACAGACACGTGCCACTACACTGGGCTAATTTTTGTATTTTTAGTAGAGATGGGGTTTCACCAGGTTACCCAGGCTGGTCTCAAACCCCTGACTTCAAGTGATTTGCCCACCTCAGCCTCCCAAAGTGCTTAGGATTATAAGCGTGAGCCACTGCACCTGGCGGAACATACTGTCTGCACCACATTTTAGATTAAATTTAGCATTTTGATTCATACTCTCTCGAATTGCTCTTCAATTATTTTACTATAAATTTGATACCAAAAGTAGGCCTTAAGAAAATACCTGGAGAATTCAATTAAAGGATTCAATTTTGTTTGGAATATCCCTTTAGTTTCTAGTTTTGTGGTAAAAAAGAGATGATGCTTCACATCATAAGATATTCAAAATATATGAGCGATACTATATAATTACATTAAAATTACATTGCATAATTGTACTTTTAAAATCTGTGCCTGGCACAGGTAAGTGACTGAATGGATATTTTTCTGGTATTTTGTACCGAGCGATGGTTTTGTGCTGTGGAAATATGTGTTTCCTCCTCAGCATCCATTCCCTCTTCTGACAAAGACATTTGGATCAGGTGGGCTAACTCAATTCCTGCCTTGGATGAGGGAAAAGACATAATCTAGCCTGACCCACCAAGGTACCCCCGCTCCTCAGGCCATGATGATTGGTTTAGAAATACACAGGTGTTGCAAATGACTCTGATAAGATTACATATGGGTTGAAACTGTGGGTAAAGAGAATTATCTTTTCTGCTGGGCTTGAGGGTAGAGGGATGTAAGCTTTGGTCTACTGAGCGCCACCTTGAGGAGAAAGCCTTTCAGAAAGTGAAGACAAGACCCAGAGTAGAAAGTCAAAAAATTAAAGGAGATTAAGTACAGATAATACCATTTGACCCTCAGGATCCAGCAATTTCTGAAGGCAGATACCCCTGGACTTTTCAATTACGTAAGCCAGTACGAGCTGAGTTTTTCTCACTTGTAATTAAAGGATTTCTAACAAAATAGTTAACTTTTGTAACATTTTTTTTTGTGGTGGCAAAATAGTCTGCTTTACAAAAGTCAAATTTCAAAATGCATTCATTTATGCAACAAATATGAAGCACCTACTATGTGCTGGTATATCACATTGTGTCAGTCACACTGAGAGTAAGTTAACCAGGATTCGCTGCATAGTGTTCTCAATCTCGGCACTATTAGCATTTTAGGTAAGGTAATTCTTAGTTGTTGAGGATGATTCCACGTGTGGCCTCTGGTCAATATATGCCAGTACAGCCCCCAGTCACTATTACTGGGAAAACTAAAATATGTCACATTTTCAGAAGTTCCTGTAGGGGGCAGTACGATGCTGAAGTAGAACAGCGAAGTTAAGGGAAAGACAGACCATTGCAACACAGAATTAAGGATTTAAGAGCTCTCAGACACATACGATCTAAAAGACGCGTCAGAAGTCCTAATCAGGAATTTTTTTTAAAAGGGGGAGAAAGTTGTTCCACAAGGCAGAACATGGTGGTATGTAGTATTAGAAAGTAAAAGACAAGCAAAGGTTTTTGTTTTGTTTTGTTTTGTTTTGTTTGAGGCAGAGTCTTGCTCTGTCACCCAGGCTGGAGTGCAATGGCGCGATCTCGGCTCACTGCAACCTCCGCCTCCTGGGTTCAAACGATTCTCCTGCCTCAGCCTCCCGAGTAGCTGGGACTACAGGTGCCCACCACTGCATCTGGCAAATTTTTTTTTTTTTAGATGGGGTTTCACCATGTTGGCCAGGCTGGTCTCAAATTCCTGACCGCAGGTGATCCACCCACTTTGGCCTCCCAAAGTGCTGGGATTACAGGCGTGAGCCACTGTGCCTGGCCTAATTTTTTTGCACTTTTAGTAGAGACGAGGTTTTACCATGTTGATCAGGCTGTTCTTGAACTCCTCACCTCAAGTGATCCACCCGCCTTGGCCTCCCAAATGCTGGTATTATAGGTGTGAGCCACCATGCCCAGCCTGATGAGTTCAGGAGTTTTTAAAGCTGCCCAGATAAGCCCTATGATCATCCAAGTAGAGAACCACTGCCCCAAAACCTTGCTCTTTATTCATGTGTGGATGTGGGCTTCCCCATGCTGTCTGGGTGGTACCACCCTGCAGTTCAGGACGAATACTGACTTCCCTCAAGAGACTTTTTTTAATAGTTTTGACCCTAGACCTCAGCATTTTGTTACCCTTTCTTTTTTTTTTTTTTTTTTTTTCTTTTTTGAGACGGAGTTTTGCTGTTGTTGCCCAGGCTGGAGTGCAATGGCGTGATCTCGGCTTACCGCAACCTCCGCCTCCTGGGTTCAAGCAATTCTCCGGCCTCAGCCTCCCGAGTAGCTGGGACTACAGGCATGCACCACCATGCCCAGCTAATTTTTGTATTTTTAGTAGAGACGGGCTTGAGCCACCGCGCCCGGCTGTTACCCTTTCTTTAACCCATTCTTTCTCACTTTCTAATCCAGTTTGGCAGCACGAGTTAAGCTGAATGGACATCAGTATCCAGGTTTTACAAGAAGAAAGTAGACTATACATAAAAATATAGATGTATATACAAAAAAAATCTTAATAATTAAGGCTTCTGATCCAGATAAACCCAATATTATGATTTAAATGATTTTTTTTTCTTTGAGACGGAGTCTGGCTCTGTCGCCCAGGCTGGAGGGCAGTGGCACAATGTCAGCTCACCAAGACCTCCGCCTCCTGGGTTCAAATGATTCTCCTGTCTCAGCCACCCGGGCAGCTGGGATTACAGGTGCACACTACCATGCCTGGCTAATTGTTGTGTTTTTAGTAGAGATGGGGTTTCACCATGTTGACCAGGCTGGTCTCTAACTCCTGACCTCGTGATCTGCCCACCTTGGACTCCCAAAGTGCTGGGATTACAGGCGTGAGCCACCGCACTCAGCCGATATAAATGATTTATTATCACCCTATTTACAGACATGGCTCAAAGATATTAAGGTCCAAGTTCACAGAGCTCATAAACAATGTTGGCAAATTATAATCACAGGCCTTCTGACTCCACACTCAGTGCACTTTTCAGCACAGGTTGCCCCTGACCAGTGCTTAAAAAATAGAATGATGCCGGGCGCGGTGGCTCAAGCCTGTAATCCCAGCACTTTGGGAGGCCGAGGTGGGTGGATCACGAGGTCAAGAGATGGAGACCATCCTGGTCAACATGGTGAAACCCCGTCTCTACTAAAAATACAAAAAATTAGCTGGGCATGGTGGCACGTGCCTGTAATCCCAGCTACTCAGGAGGCTGAGGCAGGAGAATTGCCTGAACCCAGGAGGCAGAGGTTGCGGCGACCCGAGATCGCGCCATTGCACTCCAGCCTGGGTAACAAGAGCGAAACTCCGTCTCAAGAAAAAAAAGAAAAAAAAAAAAAAAAAAGAATGTTGGTGGTAACTGTACAGGTATTGCTCGACCTACCACCTATGCAACTTACGACCATTCGACTTTACGACCACAATCGCTAGCCACGACTGCTCCCCGTCTGGCAGCGCAAACGTTGCCCAGCTGGGCGTACGACAGTGCAGACCAGCTTCCGGCAGCACTACCATCTCTGCATGCATATAGCCTACTCAACTTACGACCAAATCGTGTTACGACCGGTCCGCAGTCCCGACTGCGGTCGTAAGTCGAGCACTAGCTGTATATGGGATAAATTCAGCCAGCAGATCTTAAACTACAAATTCCTGAGCCCCATTAAAGATCTAGAAAATGGTAATCTCAGGGAATTGGCCCAGGAGTCACTCCAGTTGATTCTGTTTCTTTAGGAAAAACTAAGTTAGACTTGCAGGTTCTCTGTAGAAGGTCAGAAAGCAAAATGCGGCCAGGCGTGATGGCTCTGCCTGTAATCCCAGCACTCTGGGAGGCCAAGTTGGGCAGATCACCTAAGATCAGGAGTTCAAGACCAGCCTGACCAACATGGAGAAACCCCATTTCTACTAAAAATACTAAATTAGGCCAGGTATGGTGGCTCGCGCCTGTAATCCAAGCACTTTGGAGGCCAAGGTGGGTGGATCACCTGAGATCGGGAGTTCAAGACCAGCCTGACCAACATGGTAAAACTCTGTCTTTATAAAAAAAAATTTTTAAATGCAAAATACAAAATTAGCTGGGCATGGTGGCACATGCCTGTAATCCCAGCTACTTGGGAAGCTGAGGGAGGAGAATTGCTTAAACCTGGGAGATGGAGGTTGCGGTGAGCTGGGATCACACCATTGCACTCCAGCCTGGGCAACAAGAGTAAAACTCTGTCTCAAAATAAAAAAATAATAATAAAAATAATAAGAGAGGACATAAACAGATGGAGAAACATTCCATGCTCATGGTTAGGAAGAATCTGTATTGTGAATATGGCCATACTACCCAAACTAATTTATAGATTCAATGCTATCCCCATGAAGCACCAATGACCTTCTTCACAGAACTGGAAAAAGCCCCCTTAAACTTCATATAGAACCAAAAGAGAGCCCACATAACCAAGCCAATTCCAAGCAAAAAAAACAAAGCAGGAGGCATCACACTACCGGACTTCAAACTATACTACAAGTCTACAGTAATCAAAACAGCATGGTACTGGTACCAAAACAGAGATATAGAGCAATGGAACAGAACAGAGGCCCTGGAGGCAATGCCACACATCTACAACCATCTGATCTTTGACAAACCTGTCAAAAACAAGCAAAGGGGAAAGGAGTCCCTGTTTAATAAATGGTGTTGGGAAAACTAGCTAGTCATGTGCAGAAAGCAGAAACTGGACCCCTTCCTGACACCTTACACTAAAATTAACTCCAGGTGGATTAAAGACTTAAACGTAAGACCTAACTCCATAAAAACCCTAGAAGAAAACCTAGGCAAAACCATTCAGGACATAGACATAGGCAAGGACTTCATGACTAAAACACCAAAAGCATTGGCAACAAAAGCCAAAATAGACAAATGGGACCTAATTAAACTCCAGAGCTTCTGCACAGCAAAAGAAACAGTCATTAGAGTGAATCTGCAACCAACAGAATGGGAAAAAAATTGTTGCAATCTACCCATCTGATAAAGGGCTAATATCCAGAATCTACAAAGAATTAAAACAGATTTACAAGAAAAAAACAAACAAGCCCAGTCAAAAGTGGGCCAAGGGTATGAACAGACACTTTACAAAAGAAGACATACATGAGGCCAACAAACATATGAAAAAATGCTCATCATCACTGGTCATTAGAGAAATGCAAATCAAAACTACATTGAGATACCACCTCATGCCAGTTAGAATGGTGATCATTAAAAAATCTGGAGACAACAGATGCTGGAGAGGATGTGGAGAAGTAGGAAAACTTTTACACTGTTGGTGGGAGTGTAAATTAGTTCAACCATTGTGGAAGACATTGTGGCGATTCCTCAAGGACCTAGAAATAGAAATTCCATTTGCCCCAGCAATCCCATTGCTGGGTATATATCCAAAGGATTATAAATCGTTCTATTATAAGGACACATGCATACGAATGTTCATTGCAGCATGTTTACAATAGCAAAGACTTGGAACCAATCCAAATGCCCATTGATGATAGACTGGACAGGGAAAATGTGGCACATATACACCATGGAATACTATGCAGCCATAAAAATTGATGAGTTTGTGTCCTTTGTAGGGACATGGATGAACCTGGAAACATCATTCTCAGCAAACTGACACAAGAACAGAAAATCAAACACCGCATGTTCTCACTCATAGACGGGTGTTGAACAATGAGAACACATGGACACAGGGAGGGGAGCATCACAAGCTGGGGTCTCTAGGGGGCAACTAGGGGAGGGACAGAGAGGTGTGGGGAGTTAGGGAGGGATAACATGGGGAGAAATGCCAGGTATAGGTGATGGGGAGGAAGGCAGCAAACCACACTGCCATGTATGTACCTATGCAACAATCTTGCATGTTCTTCACATGTACCCCAAAACCTAAAATGCAATAATACATATATATAAAAGTATTTATTCAAATCTTAACCTATTGTTAGCCGTTATCAAACTAGTGTATAATATATTTAGTTTCTAATTCCTCAAAATATAACTACTAGAAATCTTAAAAAAATATAAAAAATAACTTTTCAAGGAGACCAGTTACAAAATAAAAAGGAAAGGCAATAAGTAGTATAAATACGGAACCATCAGAACAGAAACAAAGATAGATTAGGGAATAGAAAAGAGGCCAATGGGAAGGAAGGATGGTGAAAGGAAAAATAATCATGAAACCCAAAAGGAGCATATATGGGAATTATGTTAAACTTTAAGTGTGAGTGAGAGATCCAAGGAGAGACATAGGACAATCAGCTAGCATTCCCCAAATAAGCCCATGGAAATGCTATATATGGACCTTGGAAGAAATGTACTTAGAAACATAGATTTTGAATACTCTGCATAAAAATAGTGAATAAAGCATTGGGAATAAAAGAGATTGGTAAATGCAGGAGTGTTGAGCATAAAAAGTCAAATTTTGGCCAGGTGCGGTGGCTCACACCTGTAATCCCAGGGCTTACTTTTGAGGCTAAGGAGGGCAGATCACCTGAGGTCAGGAGTTCAAGAGCAGCCTGGCCAACATAGTGAAATCCCATCTACTAAAAATGCAAAAATTAGCTGGGCATGGTGGCACGTACCTATAGTCCCAGCTACTTAGGAGGCTGAGGCAGGAGAATTGTTTGAACCCGGGAGGTGGAGGCTGCAGTGAGCCAAGGTTATACCACTGCACTCCAGCCTGGGCAACAAATGAGATTCTGTCTGAAAAAAGAGAGAGAGAAAAAAAGAAATTAGGTGGGGTATGGTGGCTCAAGCCTGTAATCCCAGCACATCGGGAGGCTAAGGCGGGTGGATCACCTGAGGTCAGGAGTTTGAGACCAGCCTTGCCAACATAGTGAAACCCCATCTCTTCTAAAAATACAAAAATTGGCTGAGTATGGTGGCACACGCCTGTAGTCCCAGCAACTCAGGAGGCTGAGGCAGGAGAATGGCTTGAACCTGGGAGGTGGAGGTTGCAATGAGCAGAGACCATGCCCCTGCACTCCAGCACGGGCAACAGAGTAAGACTCCCTCTCAAAAAAAAAAAAAAAAAAAAAAAAATTAGCCAGGTGTGGTGGCTCATGCCTACAGTTGCAGCTACTCAGGAGGCTGGGATGGGAGAATCACCTGAGCCTGAAGGGGTCAAGGTTATGGTGAGCCGTGACTGTACTCCAGCCTAGGTGACAGAGTGAGATTCTGTCTCAAAATAAAAAGAAAAAAAGAAAACTGACCAGTTATGTTATACTTTGTATCTCTATAATCTGATTTCTGAGACCCGGCAAATACCACTGCATTTACTAATCTTTTGAATATAGCAGGATCACCCTCTCAAGAGCAGTTATTTCCTAACTGTCTAAAATCTACAGATGAAAGAAACTATGTAAACTATCACTCCACTTTGTATATTCTTGATGTCCTCTTGATTTGATACCCTTAGCTTCCTAGTTAAATTTCCATGGCATTCAGCTCCAAATTGTATTGGTTAAGACCTCAGGAATTATACCCAACTCTTTTTTGTTTTTTTTTTTTTAAGAGACTGGGTCTCGCTATGTTGCCCAGGCTGGAGTGCAGTGGCTATTCACAGGCACGATCCCACTACTGATCAGCACGGGAGTTTTGAGCTGCTCCATCTCCAACCTGGGCCAGTTCACCCCTCCCTAGGCAACCTGGTGGTCCCCTGCTCCCGGGGGGTCACCATATTGATGCCAAACTTAGTGCAGACACCTGATGGGCATAGCGCACTACAGCCCAGAACTCCTGGACTCAAGGGATCCTCCCACCTCAGCCTCCCAAGTAGCTGGGACTACAGGCACACGCCACTGCAACCAACTATTCCCCACTCTTATTTCTTTTTTATTTTTGAGACAGAGTGACTCTGTCGCCCAGGTTGGAGTACAGTCGTGCCATCTTGGCTCATTGAAACCTCAGCCTCCCAGGTTCAAGCAATTCTCCTGCCTCAGCCTCCCGAGTAACTAAGATTACAGATGCCAGCCACCACGCCCGGCTAATTTTTTTAATTTGTAGTAGAGACGAAATTTCACCATGTTGGCCAGGCTGGTGTCAAACTCCTGACCTCAGGTGATCCACCTGCCTTAGCCTCCCAAAGTGCTAGGATTACAGGCTTGAGCCACTGCGCCCCCCCTACTCTTGTTTCTTAAATTATTATTCATCACATGTTGCAACAATGTTTCTAGGAGTTACTACACTAATCCAAATTAGCACTTTCTTCCCAACATTTACAAGTTTAATTTTCCTTCAGTGAAATGTTGACTATAGAATTCAACTATATCGACCAGGCACGGTGGTTCACGCCTGTAATCCCAGCACTTTAGTAGGCCGAGGCGGGAGAATCACGAGGTGAAAAGATCAAAACGATCCTGACCAACATGGTGAGGATCGTTTTTTACATCTCTACTAAAAATACAAAAATTAGCTAGGTGTGGTGGCACACGCCTGTATTCCCAGCTACTCGGGAGGGTGAAGCAGGAGAATCACTTGACCCGGGAGTTGGAGGTTGCAGTGAGCTGAGATCGCGCCACTTCACTCCACCCTGGGCGACAGAGCAAGACTCCGTCTCAAACAAAAAAAAAAAAGAATTCAACTATATCAAGTAATAGCATTTTCCAAACGCAAGGGTTTAACAATAAATTAGGTTGGGCACGGTGGCTCACATCCGTAATCCCAGCACTTTGGGAGGCCGAGGCGGGCGGATCACGAGGTCAGGAGTTCCAGGAGACCAGCCTGACCAACATGGGGAAACCCGGTCCCTACTAAAAAAAAAATACAGAAATTAGCCAGGCATGGTGCGTGCCTGTAGTC